CATCCCGGTCCAGAAAAGGCCGCAACTGGCGAACCAGGCGTACCCGGTAAAACGCCCCCCTGGCCACGGCCGTCAATTGATCTTCTAGTGTCAGCCGTGGATCCAGGAGGACACCCAGATTGCGCACCCTCTCTGAGGGAGCCAAAATTTCGCCCCCTATAGTCAGCGACGGAGTCAGCTGACTATGCCTGGGAGCCGGAAACCACAGCCACTCAGTCTTGGAAGGGTTGAGTCTGAGTCTGTTTCTCCCCATCCAGACCTGTACGGCCTCCAGGCACCGGGCCATCACGTCAAGGGCATCATTGGGGTGGCCTGGGGTGGAAATGTACAGCTGAGTATCTTCAGCGTACTGATGGAAATCCACCCCAAAGCCATGAATGATCTCACCCAGCGGCTTTACATAAATATTGAACAATAGGGGGGAGAGGACCGACCCTTGTGGCACCCCACAAGTTAGGGGCCTTGGGGTCGACCTCTGTCCCCCTGCCAATACAGACTGCGTGCGGTCGGTGAGGAAGGAGGAGAACCACCACATAACGGTGCCTCCCACTCCCAACTCCACCAAGCGCCGCAGCATGATACTGTGGTCCAAAGCAAAGGTTGGAGACCGGGCGGTAGTTAGCCAATACATCTGGGTCCAGGGAAGGCTTCTTAAGGAGGGGCCTCACTACTGCCTCCTTTAAGGCTGCGGGGAGGACCCCCTCCCGTAAAGAAGCGTTTATAATTCCCTGGAGCCAGGCTCGTGTACCCTCCCGGGCAGCCAGTACCAGCCAGGAGGGACACGGATGCAATAGGCATGTGGTTGCATTCAGCCTCCCCAGGATCCTGTCCACGTCCTCAGGGGCCACAGAGTCAAACTCCTCCCATACAACAGTCTCAAGACCTGCTCCCGTCTCCTCCCCCGGGGCCACCCAGTCAGAGTCAAGGCCTTCTCGGATCCGAGCAACTTTGTCATACAGATATTGAGCAAAGTCCTCGGCCCTCCCCTCCAGGGGATCCCCTCCCTCCCTCAACTGGAGGAGAGAGTGGGTCACCCTGAAGAGGGCGGCCGGGTGGTTATCTGATGACGCGATGAGGGCGGAGTAGTAGTTAGATCTAGCCACCCTCATCACCACTAGGTAGGATCTAACATGCATCCTTACCTGTGCTCAGTCGGATTCGGTTCGGCTAGCCCTCCAACTGCTCTCTAGGCGTCTTTTCCGGCGTTTCATCTCTCTCAGCTCCTCAGTAAACCAGGGAGCCAGTTGAGATCTGCGCCGGGTCAGAGGCCGCAAAGGCACGACTCGGTTCAATGCTGCGGCAGCGGCTACTTCCCAGGCCGCCGCCCGATTTTCCGCCGAGTCGTGAACTAGATCCTCCGGATATGGCCCAAGCTCCGTCCGGAACCTGTCAGGGTCCATCAGGCGCCTGGGACGGAACCATCTATGCGGTTCCGACTCCCTGCGGCGGGGGGGAGCGGTCCGGAAATCCATCTTCAGGAGTGAATGATCTGACCATGACAGGGGCTCAATAACTACCTCCCCCGTTTCCAGATCATTCTGCCACTGGCCAGAGACAAAAATTAGATCCAGTGTGTGTCCTCCCGTGTGAGTGGGGGCATGCACTAATTGGGTCAAGTCCAAGGCNGCTCAGGCAGGGCTGTTGATACATAGCAGGGGGCCAGGTATATAATCAACAGGCCCACTTGTACCCCTTGCCCCCATTTCACAAGGAGGGACTTCACACCGTCTATCTGAGGTACAGTGGTCTCCCTCGGACATAGGCTCTCCCTTATAATGGCCGCTACCCCACCGCCCCTACCCCGGGTCCTTGGCTGATGGAATACCTGGAAACCCGGCGGGCAGATGTCCACGAGAGGCACACCCCCTTCCGTGCCCAGCCAGGTCTCGGTGATACCTGCCAGGTCCGCACCCCCCTCTTGAATAAGATCTTGGATGAGGGGGGCCTTGTTTACCACGGACCTGGCATTGCGTAGCATGAGCCGGTGATCCCGGGCCTGAGGGTCTAAGATCCCTGGGGGCCGAGTGGAGTCCTGAGGACCGGAGCACCCACAAGCTGTGGCATCCCAGTAAATGGGTTTGTGCATCCCAGTAAATGGGTTTAATTTTGTTGCCTTTTCTTTGTTTTATATATTGCTTTATTGCAAGGTTGTAAACTGCTTAGGGTTTAGCCAGCCATGATAACTCCCACTGGTTATAGTAGTTATGAGATCAGCTGCAAGGACATTAGAAAGATTACTTATTACCTCCAAGAACTTTCCATTCAAGTCTGATTGGGTGGTGCCTAGTTGAAGGATTTAGGATGGAGTGACCAAGAGTGATAGATAAATTTAATGGGAAATTGTAAATAATGATAATTAAATGAAATGCGCCCAGAAGGTTGCAGTCCATGTAGAAACGGAAGTGGTCTTCTTTGCACAAGCAATTGGGAATAAGTGTGGAGGGTTTTGATAAATCTTCAGACAGGTGTGAAGCTGCGCAAGAACTCTGAGAAGAAGTAGTATGGATACATGGACCCAGTTGGTGGCTCTCAAATTGATACTGATAAGAGAAGAATGAAAGCATTTTTTCTCCCAGCCTCAACTCTGATCCTTTGTTCTAATGTCCAGAGAAAGTAGTCCTTTCCCTCTTGATTCCAGAAATCGTCTCTCAACTTTGCTCAGCCCCCAATTTGGTTGAACAAAAGAGAGCATAACCTCAGAGACCTCTGAGTTGGATTGCTTTTATTCAGCCAGCAGCAAAACACATTAGCATGTAAACTATTTACAAGAATTTGGATCAAACACCGTGAGAGTCAAATCTAGGAGGACAATGCCTGTTGAGGGGAGTCTTCAACGTTTACCCGATGTTTTTGCTATGTTCCTCTGGGTGAACTTCTGTTCAAGGGCCTCATGAACAACCATACATCTGTATGTGTTGCCGGGACGCCATTCCGATTCAGAGATTCTCAATTTGCTATAGCGGAAGAAGGACCCATCCCTCTTTTCTTTTACAGCTGGGGTGTTGACGTAGTCATCTTCTGAAATGGCATTGCCATTCTTTAGCCACTGGACATCATTATTTTCTGGGTAAAAGCCTTGAACCAAGCAGGTGAGAATAAGTGAATTGCCAGGGATGGGAGGGTAGATGTGGATGGATGGTGCCTTGCTCTTTTCTTTGTGAACATGGAAAGAAAAAGAAAAAGAAAGTCACATATTATTTAGTTTAGGATAAAGTTGTGGAAGCCGTGACTGGGTTTCCATATATTAAGTCATGACGTATTGTAGATTGCCAGCCTCTGACGACTGGTTCACTTGTGAGATTGAACAGATTAGCTACAGTTATAACTTCACAGAATCGACTCTGGGTTCAGATAGCACTCCAAGCCAAAATAGAACTTAACGTGATAGAAAAAGCCCAGGAAATTGGAGTAATTAATATTAGGAAGACAGGACATGCAAGTCCTCTGAAGTGCTTAACCCATCTGACTACGTCATTTCACATAGTCCGTCTCGCTTTTGGTCAGTGATGTGCCTGTTATATCGGCTGTGTGTGCGTTTGGAAGATTATTTAATCAAAAGCTGCATAAGGCCTCCAATAAGATCCTCCAGTGTAACAAGAGGAAACCAAAGTCTACACTGGGGACATTTCATGTTAGAGGGTGGCACCACAGGAAAGCCATATCTCACTTTGTTCTAACCACCTGCTTGGTTTGGATCCAGGACATACTGAAAGTAGCCCAGTCCCGAATTCACTAACCCCCCCAGAGCTCTTAGGAGTGCCACAATTCTACATTGTGGCTGTGCAAAGTTGCCCTAGAAGCAAGGGATGCAGCTCAGTGGCCCCAGATGTTGTGATGTTAAGGGAGGTAACAAAATTGAGATCCATGGCTGGAGATAATTGATTTATTTATTTATTATTTGAATTTATACCCCGCCCTTCTCCTTGCGGACTCAGGGCGGCTGACAGCCTGATAAAAACAACTACAAAAATACCCCCAAAACTATCATTAGAACAAAGTTAAGATGAAATATTAAATTTGGCCTTATTAATTTTTAGAATTGCTTTTAAAACCCCACTAAAATTTCCCCTTAGGCCAGTCCTGCTTGTTGGAAGAGCCATGTCTTAAGGGCGCGGCGGAAGGAAGGGAGATCCGGGATCACCCGGATCTCTGGGGGTAGTTCGTTCCAGAGGGTGGGAGCTCCCACCGAGAAGGCCCTCCCCCTGGAGGTCGCCAGCCGGCACTGTCTGGCTGACGGCACCCTGAGGAGACCCACTCTGTGGGAGCGTACCGGCCGATGGGAGGTAATCTGCGGCAGAAGGCGGTCTCGGAGATATCCAGGTC